ATCTAAATAGACTGTTGGCATTGTTTGAAAATGAAGTTCTTTAAAAGCTTTTCTCAGGGACTGGGGTATGGATTACTGTAAGGAATATGACATTCCTTGCCATTTTTTAAGAAGATGATACCACTTGGCCAACTTAAGCCTGCATACCTGATCTCTATCCTGTCTAAAATCTTTAAAAAATAAATATTCCCTCAATAGTGTATGATAGTTTGTGTCGTTAAATAGTTCCTGATCTAGGGATAATTGAAAAAATAGTTTTTGACACAAAATCGCCCATCTGTTGCTATTAAAATTTTCGTAGAGGCATTTTTTTGCCCGATAATTCTTTGCCAAAATCAGTCTTTTCCCAAGGATTTCAGAATGTCTATCGTTCTAAGCTTCCACAAATAAGACTTTGAATGGATCCAGTTGTTCCCAACAGATGCCGTCTTTTCTCTTAATACGTACATCCTGTAGGTTGTGGCTGTTGAAGAACAGTGATTCTCAGCTTTTCATATCTTAAGTCCTCCTTACACCAGTGTTCCTCAACCTCAGCAACTTTAAGATGTGTGGAATTTGACTCCCAGAATGCTGGCTGGGGAAATTCTGGGAATCAAAGTCTTAAAGCATCTTAAAGTTGCTGAGGTTGAGAAACACTGCCTTAGACAGTCTCTCTATTGAAGAACCTGTGTCCCACCAAAGTAGAAACTCCACTTTTTCTAAAGACATTTTTATGTTCTGGAGGATTATTTAGTAAATTTATGCATGGAGAGGGGAGGGAAGCAGGCATGTGGTGTGTGGACTAGGTGACAGGAACCTAGGTGAATAGGATCCCATCCAATTCCTACTTTTGGTGATTTTGTGTTTACATAACAGAAACTTGGAAGAAGCAGGATAGGAAGAATATTGAGGCCTTTGAACTTTGGTGTTGGAGAAGACTCCTGAGAATACCATGGACAGCCAAGAAAACAAACTGATGGATCATCAAACAAATCAACCAAGAGTTCTCTCTTGATGTACAAATGACCAGGCTCAAATTATCCTACTTCTGACACGTATTGCGAAGACCAAGTTCTAATGGTTGGGAAAGGTGGAAGGAAAGAGAAGAGGATGACCAGCACCAAGAGGGATGGACTCAGTTACAGTGGTGATGAGTGTCCTGTTGGAGGACCAGCTTGGGGACAGATTGTCACAGAGAAAGGCTATGAGTGAACCATTGGGAGACCTGAAAGCACAGGTTATGGATAGATCATCATGGGGAAAATCTACAATACTGTGCAAAAGTTTTAGGTAGGTGTGAAAAAATGCTGTAAAGTAAGAATGCTTTCAAAAATATATATTGT